TATGTGGAATCATCCTGATGGTCCAACGAGCGAAACCGATGTAGTGATCATACTAGCTAGATACGAGAAACGAAGAGAGTGAGTCATGCTTTACGAAGCTCAAACGTCGCAAAGGTTACGACGGAAAAGTCATGCATCGTGGAGAACAAACATCGCAAGAGTCCACTATTTCTCAACTCATCAGCACCGTTTGACCCTTGCCATCATTCCCCTTATTTCCTCCTTTTGACCATTCTGATCACCTGACTCGTGCGTCACGTTTGACCCTCAGCACTCCGCCCGTCTCCCACATCTGACCTTCGCGGTCATTCTATTCGTACCTCCCATTTAACTCTGAGTTATCAGCCCACTCGTAACCACCGTTTCACCCTTGCGACCATCCCACTCGCCGCAACCGTTTGACCCTTGCGATCACTCCACTCCATGTACTTCTCATTTGATTCTCGTAATTACTCAACTTGTCACCCCACTTGACTTCTATGATTAGACCGCTCGTACCTCTCATTTGACTCTCAACATTCCCCTCGTCACAGCGATTTCAACCTTCTAACCACTGCACCTCCAAATCATTCTACTTGGTCCCCCCTTTTGACCCTTCTGATCACTTTACAGGTGGCTCACATCTGACGCTTGCAATCATCCCGCTCGTCTGCTCTGTCCGACTCTCGCGAGACTCGACCCGTACCTCTCACTTGACTCTCCATTCTTTTCGGCCTCGCTTCACCGTTGTGATCATTCCCCTTGTCACCCCGTTCTGACCCGACATTGGTCCGACTTCATATAATATAGGGGATTACCATGTTTGAACCAGTATCACGACCGAGCTTGACCACTGAGCGTCGCGTGAATTTCCTGCGATATTCCTGGTGGACCCAGGAGTAAGTTCAGCTCTCTCTTTGTTCCAATAGTGGAGGGAAAAGAGAAAGTACATGTACTTTTTGACCCTTATGGGGAGCGAAGTCTCTACTTTCTACTTTTATATTTTTTAGAGAGTAGGAAGTCGTTATCGGGTGCGTCAGAATGGATTTGTGAGCCATTTCCCAAATTGACGTAATACTTAACGGTGGTGCCGCGAGGGGAAGGAAACGGTCAAAGATGACTAGGGTCATGTTCGGTTTTTTAGTCCGTATGGGTTGCAACCATCGTAGCCTGATCGAGTCGGGCACTACACTCCTTATATCATCAATCTGGAGTGTGTTAGTGCGTAGAGTGCATTTTTCCGTTCATGAACCCCGAAAAAAAAAGAAAAAAAAAAGAAAATTTCCTCCTCCCCCCACTCGCGCTCATTAGGAAAAAAATGGGGCAAAATAGGTTCGTTTGTCGTTTCTCGACTTGACATCCCCTCTCTCGCTCATTAAGAAAACAAACCCCAAATGGGGCAAAATGGATCTGTGAGCTATTTCCCAAATTGACTTTCTTTCCCCCCGCCCCCTCTCGGCCATGAAGAAAATAATGGGGTAAAATGGGTTTGTTTGTTATTTCCCAAATTGACTTCTCCCACCCCGCCCCCTCTCGCTCATTAAGAAAATAATGGGGCAAAATGGGTTTGTTTGTTAACTCCCGAGTTGACCCCCCCCCCGCTCGCACTCATTAGGAAAAAATGGGGCAAAATGGGTTTGTTTGTCGTTTCCCGACTTGACATCCGTCCTCTCGCTCATGAGAAAAAACAAGCAGGGGTAGAAGCCTATTTGACAGAAGTCATGTGACCGTTACTCGATGCTTTTTTTTTCCTCTTTACCAATTACATTGGTAATAAGCTTCCGAATGGGAGATATTCCAATTCCACACATAAAAAATCAGTGGCAATTACTCACTCCTTAGTTTCAGTGTGACAAATACGGGTGAATGTAAATGGATCTGACCCATTATGGGTTTCACCAATAATTTCTGGGCCAATGCCTCTTATCATTGTAGTAGAATTGTCGACTTTGAAATTTTCCTTATTATGAAGAATCTAAATAATTGAACAAATGCTAAGACTATTGCAATCTCGTCAGAGTCTAGTCCAATAAAAATGCAGTGTTCGCGAAAAAATCCATTCCATCATTTATTCATATGATCTTCAAATTTCATAAGAAAACATCATTCTTTTACAGTATTTCGCATGGTTTTCATAAATTATGAGTAATCCAAATAGCGACGCCTGTATTCTCAACTTTTTTTCTCCTCTGTGTCCCGATAAATTGTCAGAAACATACGTCATCATTTAATCAATAGATTCGTGATCCTAGTAATTACGTATGATGTTTCAAACAAAAATTTGTCATTTTCAACTTTTTAATATATTTTAATTTGTAATATTTTCTCTTACATCATGATGAATTTAATAATTAAATTCATATTAGTACTCCTAATAATTAAAATATCTTGATGATTTTTATCTTATTCCGACTCAATTATTTCCTTAGACTGTATTTTTATTTGCCCATAAAGATTTATTTGCTGACGTGCATGTAACTCCCACTCAAACTCACACAGATCGTCTGCAGCAAATACTGAATCCGTTAAGCTCACTCTGTTTAATCTACGTGGTACAGCATTTTGGATGAATATCAGGTATTTATTGAATAATATTATAATTAACGAGAATGGTCTTGTAAATTCAAAAAATCAAGTTTATGAAACTTGATTTCCATCAAATATTAGATTATATGGAGTAAAAAAAAACATGGATTTGTATTATATGACTTTTGAAGTCATGTAGAGATGGAAAACATTGATAAAATGATAATTTGTGATTTTTAAGAAAAAAAAGCGTTTCGGACGAATCACTCTATGCCAGGATGTACGGAATCGATTGGCACAACATTTTATACATGAATTTAGGCCAATCATGCAAAATAGTAGCCAGAATCTCAGATGTTTAGTCCATGTTTAACGCTCATTATAGAGCCCACATTGGATTTTAATTTACAAAACTAGAAAAACGGTGATATCTTGAAAACTTTGTATGGGCGGCTATGCATATTTTGATTGATCTTGATAGAAGATACCATGACGAATATTTTGAAAAAAAAAGTCAATCGGACCAGTAGTTTTGGAGATAATGACCATTACAGTTTTTCACAAAAAGTTGAATATCTCCGAAACTACTTGTCCGATTCAGATCATCCACAATCCCATTCTGTAACATCATAAAAACTACAGTCGTACCAAATTTCAACTTTCTATCTTGAGTTTTCAAGGCGCTATCGTGCTTACAACGATTTTTTCATAAAAATGAAAAATGCCAATTATTATTCGGTTGCCCATGGTTTCATAGCAATATTATGATTTGATTCGACAGATATTGTCGCAAGGAAGATTTTGGCATCAAAAAATGTGAATTCGGTCATGTAGTTTTTGAGATATTGAGCAAAAATTTTTTTGAGAAATTGCTGTATCTCCAAAACTACTGGGCCGATTGAGCTGAAACTGCGCCCAGAAATGCTCCAAAGTAATACCAACTATGTGACAAAATTTCAGATTTTTAGCTTCAACTTTTGTCCGTTATTTGTCGTTATTTATAAAAAATTTCGAAAAAATCGACCGATCACAAAGCTTCCATTCGGAAGCAAAAATATAAATGGGGCAAAATGGGTCTGTTTGCTATTTCCCAAATTGACTCTCCCCCCCTCTCCATCATTAAGAAAATAATGGGGCAAAATGGGTTTGTTTGTCATCCCCCGCGTTGACACCCCCCTACCTCCGTTCGCACTCATTAAGAGAAGAATGGGGCAAAATGGGTTTGTTTTTCGTTTTCCGACTTGAAATCCGTCCCTTCGCTCATAAAAAAAAAAATACAAATGGGGCAAAATGGGTCTGTTTGCTATTTGCCAAATTCACTTCCCGCCCGCGCCCCCTCTCCCTCATTAAGAAAATAATGGGGCAAAATGGGTTTGTTTGTCATCTCCCGAGTTGACACCCCCC